CCTCCTGAGTACAGCCTGAACAGGACAGGTAGGTTGTGTTATCTAAACCAGAATCCCAGAGCTGTCCTTGCCACAAAAAGCAATCTGTAGAGAAGAGGGTAAGCTAGCAGGGTTCATGTCAGTGCTCTTGTAGAAAATCTCCYATTGTAATATTTCATGGAGGAACTAGAAGTCTGACTGTTCTTCAGTCACACAGACCATCCTTGCCTGAACCAAATCATACAGCAGCTGAAATCACTTTGGAGCATGCTCTGCCCTCACTGACATYGGCAACAATGGAATTGCACTAGGAGGGAAAAGTACAGGGGTAGATCCCATAGGAAATTCAGGTCTCAGAAAAAGCAGCCCACAAGAAGACTGTGCACTTCAGAACAGGTTTCTGTGCTGTGGAAATGAACTGGCAGGAAATGCAAAAACAAGGCCATCTAACAATCTAGCAGTCAGTGTACTGTCCGGGAAAGTACAAACCCAGATGCAAATCTGTCCYTCAGCAGGAGGTTGTAACCCACGTCTCGTGCTTCACAAGAGTGACTTGACCACCTGCCAGTAGGCTGGGTGATAAAAGGTACATAAAAAGGGACAGAAATATAGGGGATCAGCTGCTGCCAATTGCAGAATTGCTTTATCCTGTACTTTTGGAGAAGGACAGGCATGCATGGCCAGACCTTACCCAATGACTCTCCACTGCAAAGGATGAGTAGTCCTCACTCATTTTGGGCTGCACRCAAAGCTGCCCTCCTCTCCCACTCTTCCTCTCACTGGCACCCGAAGGCAGTTCTGCTCTGTGTCACAAGGCACTTCACAGGACAGTGTCACTTTTCAGCAACTAGCATTTGTGGCCACAAACTGCTCTACTTGTTCCTCCTAGGGCTCACCTGCCTGCTGTGGATACAAAACGCCATCCCAGTGACACACACCTGCATGGAAATGCGCACACACAAACTCCCAATTAAGGGCTAACAGCAGCAAAACGTAAGTGGCTCTCAGGAAACAACAAAAACAGAGGTCAATTAGATGGAGCTGCCTGTTTGGAGAAGCCTCCAGCTTCCCCCAGCCTTTGCCTGTGCAAGAGCAGCTGAACAAARTTTGTGTCACAGTCATCTTTACTCGGCAGAGCACCCTCTTCTGCCTCTTGATTCAGTGATCCTTTTCCCCCTGCTCTAGTTCCTAATTAAAGCTATAAATGTGGATAAATACCACATCCAGTTTTAAACCCAGCCGGGTCACCAAACAGCACACTACACCCTGTTCTGCAATTAAATTACCTGTGAAACACCTCAATTATCATTAAAGCAGCAATTACCCCCCTGTTAGAGGCACCACAAATCATACATTTCAATGCAWAAAGTTCATCTGGCAGCTTATGGCATATTAACCAATCTTACATCTCATTTGTGTTTTGATCTATAACCTGCCCAAATGAGCGAATTTGATGTGACTCAGTGTCTCTAACTATATTTTATCATGTGCAATACGATGTTGGCATCTTTCAAAGAACAAGTTAAATGAGCTAAGGGGTTAATTGCTAACGACTCAGCCATTACCGTTGGAGCGTCACAGAATGGGATCCTGCCTGCTCAGGTTAGGTTTAAAAAATCACACACAGAGAGAAGAGWGGAATTGAAATGGATGTTTCTGTTCATGCTGGGGAATTTCAGCTGTTTGATTTCCACTGAGGCTGGTGGGTCAGTCTGCTGATCTCACCACCTCATCCCACTTCTCCCCACTGAGGAAAAGCAGAAGGCAGAGAAGCATAGAGCTAGGGCAGGATGCTGTTTGCTTTTATGTCCATTCATTTTTCTCTCTTTTTGCCCCTTCACCACTCAGCTGCAYGTGGAAACCTCAGTGTAACAGCCCCTGTGCTGGTCCTATTGCTGCTTGCCTGGGACATGCAATGGAACAGCCAAAACATTTATCTGGGTGGGTCAGAACCTGTTGRTCTGCTTGGTACTGGCTATCAAACTGGGAGTGGGGAGGGATGCCATGGTGCAGCTGACACCCACACTGGTCAGGGCTGGTGGGCACAGGTATATGACTGCAGAGCTGACCTGGCTCACCCTGAGACCATGGAAACCCTTGTTTTTTTACTTTGTTCCAGGTGAACAAGCACGATATACTTTGATTTGACCTCAGGCCATGAGGCTTTCTTATTTTAACACATCTATTTGGATTTGGATTTTGGCTTTTTCTTTTTTCTTTTCCCTAGTGCCCACGACCTGAGCTTACTTTAATGCTTGTCAGGTACTAGTGGATCGGAGGGACTGGTAAGTGTTGCCTTAAAAGCTTTGCCTGCCCATCTCTGCCTTTGTCCTTCCTGCCYTCTGGAGGAGCTGTACGCTGCTGTGGGGCTCAGCTCTTCTGTAGTCCTAAGATCTGCTCTTTCATTGATCCATAAGAGCTTGACACAGTTAATTGCAATTAAATATGCTGGGAACGATAAGACTGAATTCCCCAGATGCTGAAAAGAGGATGGAATTTATCCCTGAGTGTGCTTGTTCTCACCATTTTGAAATGCCAGGAAAAAAAGAAAAACAAACTAAACACCCAACAGAGAATGAAGGGGGATAACAGAACCAAAGAGAAAAAGCAAGAGAAAGATGCTGGGAATCTGGACTCCAGCATTGCACCACATTACACTGAAGGTGTATTTTGTACAGTTCCACAGGGCAAGCTTTTCTTCATCTGTTTTGGTGTTAAATCCTGTGACTCCTTCAGAAGCCAGTCAGTTAAAAAAAAAAACAAAAAAACAAACCCAAACCTAAACAAAACACAGCTCCCAAAGTGTAAAGAGTCTGAAGCACACACTCACCAAAGCATTTGGACACGCTGCTCACAGGTACAGCATATGGGTTACCCTACTTGGAATCAAAGCAGTCTTTCAACAAGATGGAAAACAGCCTCAGACTGCTGCCTGCCTTTTCTGAGCCCTTCTTAGAGTTACCTGTGCTATCATATCAGAAACTTCTCCAAACAAATAAATGAACTTTTAAACAAAGAACTCATTCATCTTTAAATTAAAATAATCATGTAATCCTTCAACCCACCAACTTATCTTTCATCTTTCCATTTTTTTTTTTTTTTTAAATTTATCTTACTAGCTTCAGCAAGTGGCTGTAATAAAGTGTCACATTAAGGTATTCATATTCATTAGTGTTCAGGTCTTTGTTCTTTTAATAGTGTTGGAAAGAATCTACAAAGAGGCTGTATTAGGCGGCTGTCCAATCTGGGYGTTTGATCTCCCTCTGACTTCAAAAGTCAGAAAAGGAAAAAAAAAACCCCACATTGAGAACAGTTCTTTTGAATGTCAGATGGGGAGTATAAGATTTCTGAGCCTGCCAAGTGTTAATTGGTGTCTGTCCTGACCATGGCACAAATAGGATTCAGAGCTGGTCAATGTATCATCATGAGGAGCTATTGACAGAGCAAGCAGGATCCTGGAGAGCAGGAAAAGCACAACTATTGTGGCAGCAGCTCACAGAGGATTTTTTCCCAGATTACTTTCCACAAATCATGTTAAATTATGCTGTTTGGGATTTTTTTCAGAGATCACTTTCCACAAATCATGTTAACTTACGCTGTTTGGGTCTCAGCCACGCGACTGGGTATAGCAGGCCTTTCCGAGGGGACAACCGGACTGGCTGCTGGAATTCCASAGGTGCTTGTAACAGTGCATAAAAACGAGCTACTTGTCAGCATYAATCTCTGCTTCTAGCAAAGGTAATGAAGTTCCCCAGTCCTACCCTGCACTTCCTGAACAGTGTATCCCAGTGCAGAAACTCCTGTTGTGGTACAAGTTGATTTGATGCAAAATAGCATCAGAAAGGAAAATAAAAACCTGCTGCTAAGTTCCTGACGAAACCCARCTGATTAATATTACAATTGTCACCAAGGTGGCTTGGCAGACCTAAACACTCTTTATAGTTTTGGTATCTTAATGGGGAAAGAAAACAGCCTATGAAACAAGAAAATGGGAAAAATCTTCTATGCTAATTATTCTTTCTGATGTTTGCGGACACGGTTCTGCAATTCTGATTAAATCTAAACTTGAGTTAGGTGGGGAAGCAACACTTTAAGCTTCATCTCCCGAGAAATCACCCATCAGCACTGAGTGACAACCACTTTGCTACTTAGCCATGACAGTCTGACTTATCCTAATGCAAATTGGCAACAGTTTCTTCTGTGCGTGGCAGAGGAAAACCGAAGAGAATTCAGATRGGGGAATTACCGTCATTAGCAATCAATTTTTCTCTTAACAGCCGCAGTGGATTTAGGATTTCAGWGGCCCCCCTGTGACTCAGAGACCCCTCCTACATGTGAGCTGTGAGGCTGAAGTGGGAGCCGCCACCGCACTCAGGGAAGCTTCTGTTTACAGCTGGTTTCAGGCACAAATATTGCTGAAGGGCAGGCTGGCTCCTGCAGGTGAAGGGCAGGCTCCCCACTCTGGGTTTATTTACAAGCCAGTAGGAAAAACAGCAAAGTCCCTGAGGATGGCTCATCAGGCAGGCACCCTCTGCTCTMACAAACCTCATGCTGCTTTACCTGGGAGCTGTATTGAACCATGGTACATCCTCTCAAGCCAAGTTGGCAGGGTGGTGCATACATACATGAGTGAAACATAATCTGGCAAACCAAAGATTAAAGCACCTTTATACCATGTTTGAGAGGTACCCCTCAGAGTAAGTGAATTTTTTTATCTTTAAAAGCCAAAGGRAAGATAGCAGGCTGGTACTAACATGTTCCCCCACCCACGTGTCCTTTGGATGCCAGATATAGTTGGGATTTTTCAAAGGAAAGAAAAACCTGAAACCAAACCACCTGCAGTGCTGCCCAGCAGGGTACCACAACCCGAAACCATGAATCAGGTCCCAATCAATCTCATCTATGAGCAGCAGTCAGCTCTCCATCCCCACCCATTCATCACGCTCTGCTCTAAGTCACTGCACCATCAGCCACGCCTCACTGAGGGTGTCCTGTGCCAGGACACTGCTGCTCTTGCTCACCTCAGCTACCGGGATGCCCTCAGGGGGACGGCATTGCAGCAGGACCTCTTGCTCCAGGGACACTTCCTTCCCCAAGGGCTCCTGCTCAAAAGTTTTCCGGAGATCTGGGGAGGGAGAAGAAAAAAAAACCATTAAGCATTAAATTACATTTGATTGCCATACTGGATAAATGCAAGATACAGAGAAAACTGCAGGCAGTTCTGCAGAAAAAGGCAGTTCTGCTGCCTGTAAAATAAAGCACTTAAAAAAGTCTGGGCCATGTTTTCACTTCATTCCAACATTAAGCAAAGATTTCATGRGGGATTTATTACTTATATCGTGGTACAGCATGTGAATCCAGTGAGGAACCAAGGCTTCACTGTGTAAAGTCATGTCAGACACAGAACGAAAAGTGAAAAAACGTCTCTTCCTCAGATAATTTTCATTTGATAAACTATATCAGTGAAGTGAAGAACTTCACTATAAACTGATAAACTATATCAGTGAAGAACTAAAGAAAGTTATGGAAAATTAAATAAATCTGTAAAACTACAACATAAAAACTGAGTTGCCTTAAACTCTTAGACGAAAGTGCTCTGCTGTGATTTAATGTGCTTTTAGCTCATAACCATTAACTTTGCAGCTTTAGCTAATTTGTCCACACCTTATCATTATCCCTGGAGCACAAAGATATTATTATTATTATTATGACTATTATTATTATTAATAATAACAACAACAACAATAATAATAAATATGATAATAACAAAAAGTCACTATGAGGAGCTGAACCGTGCTTGGATCCCTCCCCAGCCCCACTAAAACGTGTCAGACTGACAGGACATGGAATGCACCTCCAAAGATTGGACCAGTTCATTGTGCTGGACAGCTGGGAAGTCAGGYTTTTTTTGACTCTTCTGTAGTGTCTTCGTGCTGTTGGCAAAATGGGCTTGAGATGTTCCCTCCTCACCACTGTCTCCATGCTTCTGCCGTGGACTGACACCCTCTCCACTGTGCCAGGGAGCACCTGGCTTTGGAGAACTGAGCCTTCAGCCCCAGTGGCTACTGGGGATATTTCTCCCTGCTGCTGCCTCCTTCTGCAAATGGATGCGAAGCCATGCTCAAAGTCACATCAAAGAGCTGGCYTGACTTCAAAAACTTAACAACCCAGTTATTTTTGTTTTACTTCTTGTTCTGAAGTCAAACCATTTCTGTACATTAGCTCATGGTGAGGCTGCACAAATACTTGTGTCATATTAGCAACAAGACACGGTCATATGGGAACAATTTAAAAGCCAAATATTTCATATTTTGAAGCCATAACCTGTGACTGGGCTGGAAAAAAGATCTCTGAATTGAAACGGTTTACAAATAAACCATGCAAGGAGGTATTTTTCATCTAGATTACCGCCAAGATCTGATGTAGAGTTGACCCCACAAGGAACTGCATCAGTGCTACCAGAAGGCAAAAGCTGGGACTGGCAAATGCAGAGATGGAAAAGGAAATGGGGTGGCTACCACCAAAATCAGCTCCTCTGATACCCTGAAACTTTGCGTAGTGTGAGACCTCTATCTCTTAGCCTACACTGGGAAAATGTGGTTGTTCAGCTACCTGGAATTGTCAATCTAATGGTGTCATGGAAAGTTCTGTCATGGCTGGAGATGTTCATTTTAATTTGATATTGCAGTAAATATCTGATAGGAATCCTGGGCACACATCATATCAAATTAATACATTTTGCTTTAAATCAGCAAACAGCTGGGGTTATATTGCTAGCAGTACCCCATATGATTGCTAGTTCCTCAGGTATTTTCAAAAGAAAAGAATTACCTGCACATCAGGTGCACCTCAGTGCATTTAGCAGGGACACACACRTGCACAATGCAGACAATTATTGAGCTCTGATACCATGGCTGAGGGAAAATGAGACAGTTACTGTAATAGTAATAGAGGCATATAAGCACAGTATTAAATAGCACATTAATAATAGCTTTCAGGTGTTCAGATACAGAGGGTGGCAGACAGTAGAGGGAGATTAGATAATAACCTGATTTTTTTTTCTTTGACATGATGATTTACTGTCCTGCCTACCTTCCTGAAACATTTAATAGAGCTCKGATGTTCTACATTGCCTCATGTGCACAATAATTGCCTCTCCCATAAAGCACTTGACTTTAAAAAAAAATCCCCAAGTTTTAGTGTGTACAAAAGTAAACAGCATTAATCTAGAAATGTGTAATAACAGTAAAAAAGTCCCACTTTGGAATTGCTGGGTATGAACAGCCCCTTTTCCCCGGGAAGAGCTGCAGTGGAGTTGCTACAGGTAAGGTGAACTCTGTGGGACCCCAGCTCTCCTGGCTGCCCCTCTTCTGCAGGGCCTTGCTGTGGGAGGATGCTCTAATGGCACCGCTGATTTAAGCATTTCAATGATCCACAAACTAAAAATACCCTGAGTGGGGCCTTTGACATAACAGGCAGTAATGTTCTCTAAGGAGCCATTAGATACTATTGAGTAAATTATACTAATTTGGCGGGGGGAAGGTACATAATTGTGTATTTACAGGACTGGGAGCTCTTACATTCTGCTGGCTCCCTCCCACGCCTTCACAGCTTTATCCCACCGCCTCCCACTGCAGCCGTGTCACCTACAAATGGTTCCAGATGGCAGCAGCACAGGGCAGGTTTGACCTAACCAAGCATAAGATTGGCTAGTTGTGACACACACAAGATGGGTTTTTTACTGATGAAGAAGCAGAGGGCCTGCACAAACATCTTCACCACCTGCTGTAACTATCATGAAACACCCTGCTTGGACAGCATTGGGTTTTGTAATGACTGCTTTTTCTCTGTGGCCCTTGCTATGATTTCTGTGGATAACAATGAWATCCTCCTAATTCTTCAATTCTCAGCTTCCTTTGCCATTTAACAATTACAGTCATCGTAAAAAACCTCACACCGTCAGCTGGGAGGGGGTGGGCTTGCTAATGTGCTGAGGGACTTTGGATCTTCCCCAAGCAGAGTATTTTCAATAACACTTTTCAATTTCTCCAAGTGTCATATAAGTTACAATTGCTTGTGAGCGAGGACAGAAGGGATTCATTTTCCCAGAGAACGGTAAGAGACTAATAAAATACATCCCAGTTAAAAAAAAAAAAAAAGAAAAAGAAGAAGCTTTAACAATCCTCAGAAAATATGCCTGGAAAAGCATATCAATAAAACATTTGATCCATTTTGGATCAGGACCTCTCTGTCTGTGAAGAGGCAGTGTGCATTATTAAAGCCCCGGGTCGGCAGCAGCCCTGTTACTGAGACTCTGAGAGAGCACCTTCTCTACTCTCACCTTCCATAGGGRGGACGAGAGAGAAAAGCAGCTGCACTTTCTTTCTATTATTATTTTGGTAATGTGGAATAATCCTGCATTGTCTGTGTTAGCAATACCCTTCCTGCCCCTCTGCAGGCCCTATTCTGCCCCAGCTCAACTCTCCAAAGCGAAGTGAGCCGGGCTGGGCAGTGGGGTGAGCCAGGGTGGGTATTGGAGTGAGCCAGGGTGGGTACTGGAGTGAGCCAGGGTGGGCATTGGAGTGAGCCAGGGTGGGCAGTGGGGTGAGCCAGGGTAGGCATTGGAGTGAGCCAGGGTGAGCAGTGGAGTGAGCCA